ACAACCAGCATTCCCTGAATACCCATCTGCAATCAGGAGCCGGTGGACAGCAGCCTCCCTGAACAGGCTCTGAGGTGAGACTGGACCACCTTTGAGATCCCTCCCAACCCAAACCATTCTGGCGTTCCATGATGGTTCCATGATCTCGCCCTGCATTTATTTTGCATCGTGTCCTTCTTTCTGCTCCCAGCAGATGGCGGCGCCGGCCTTTAAAAGAGATGGAAGTGTCCTGGGACACGGATCAGCCCTGCTGCTCACTAAGATTTTTTTTTTTTTTTACTAAAAAGAGAATATTCTGCAATGACAGGTGGTGAAGATTCAATGTTGATGTTCCACGGGGTATGGGGGAAGCAGAAAGCGATTCCCTGCAAATCTCAATTCCCTGCACTGTGGATATTTTGTCCCTTACATGGATAACACCTCTCCATCTGAAGCTCTTTGGACTCCAAAGTGAACTTGCCATGTTCTGGCCTTCCAGGTAGAGGCAATGTGAATATGTGAAAACGATGGGGGGACAGAGAACTGCAACAGTGTGTGCGTGTGTGTGTGTGTGCAGGGAGAGCTGGGGTAGGAATTTTAGACAAAATCCTCTTACCTGGATGCAGGACCTTCAGGATCCTCTCTTGGTCAGAGGTTTCTCCATCGGTGGCTTTTTAGTGCTTTCAGCTCCAGGCCCCCCCAGCATCCTGGGATTTTGGGATTCCATCTGCTGCATCCCATGTGGCAAAACTGCCCTTTTAACAAAATGTCTGTGCATGGCTGGAGCTTCGTAGCCTCCATTTACAGCACACGATGATTCCATACAGAGTGGTTGTAATTCCACACTGAGTTATGCTGGAAAAAAAGTTTGTTGGTTTAAATTCATATTGGGGTAATTGTTTGTCCTCTCAAATTCAAATTATTTGTTAAAGGATGAATTTGTAAACTATTCCAGGAATAAAAAGGAGAGTGGAATAAAAAGGGAAGTGTAAGAAATAGAGAATTTATTACTATTCAAGAATAATTCCTACATCCATCAAATCATTAATTGGAAGCCTGTTCTTCTATCATCTGTCCTTGGGATACTGTTCTTCTTTCCAGAAAATCCTTATGCAGAGGCAGATAAGGCAAAACCTGCAATTTCAGCTACAAGAGCCACTTGGTTTCACCTGGGCCACACAGACTGGGTTTTTTCCCCCCCAAGTTCCTGATGTAAAAGCTGGAATCTCTGGAGGGCCCGGATCTGAATGCTGGAGCTCAGCAGGTAGGAGAAGAGTCGGGAGATGCTGCAGTGCTGGGAGCACTCAGAGCAGCGGGAGGAATCTGGACTGTAATGGATGGGGAGGTGTCAGGGGTGGTAGCTGTGTGTTCCTGACCCTGGGAATGAGCTTCCCAAGGCAAAGGGATGCCTCAAACACAGTAGAGAGGAAGGCTCTGCAGTGGCACATATCCAAGAAACTCTTCCAACCAGGAACCCCCTCAAGCCAGCAGTGCCTGCAGGTGAGAGCCCTCAATCCCCGGGGCTTGGCGCCTGGCTTTGGGCTGGGCTCTCCACTCCCTCCTTCCTCCTGTCCCTCCTCCCTGCCTAAGGCAGGAGCTGCAGGGGCTCTGGGAGCCCTCTCCTCGCTCCTGCCTGCGCGGAGCCAGCGGCTGCACTGGAGCTCCGGCGCCTGGAAGTGAGGTACCCTGGGGCATTGGGCTGGGGGCTGCCTCTGGCTGGGGCTGGGCTCGTCCTGCCTCCCTGCTGCAGCTGGGAGCTGAGGGAAAACTGCAGGAGCTCTGCTAGCAACAGGTCTGTGTGTGTGTGAGAGCTGGAATGCAGATTCCACTGCCTAGAGGTGCCCTGATTTACTGGGAGGGGGCACAGCATGGGAATCCTGGTGATGCCAGGGACCTGCCTGCTGCAAACAGCCCTCCTTGTGCTGCTCCAGTTGGTCCTGGGGTGGGCAAGGCCGGAATACGGAGCAGTTCGTGCACTGGAGGGGGACAGGGGTGGCAGCAGGAGCCCCTGACCCTCTGGCTTTGGGGTTCCAGAGCTGAGGGACACACACAGCACTGCTGCTGGGAGGGCCAATCCACCTGGGCTGGGAGCTGGACCCCTCTGCAGAGCTCCAGGATTGGGAAAAGAAGAGCCCGGGACTGTTCATTTTTTCCTCAGTGACTAAGACAAGTTCACATGATTTTATTTTGCTCTTCTATCAGTAGCAGCTACCTCCAGTAGGAGAAGAGTATCTAGAGCTTGAAGTACCTCATGTTAGCCTTTAAATCTGAACCACCCCATGGGCTGCAAAGCATAAAATGCAGTGAGATCAGTTTGGGGTGTTCTGCTGGAAAAAGGGGATTGAGTGTAACTGAGCAAAGGAGGAGCATTTCCTGAGGCTGGCAGGTAGATACCTGTAAGAATGAACCTGTGCTGCTGTTTTTTTTCCAAATGAAAATCCTACCAAGGAAAACTTAGTTCCAGTCCTTGCTGTTTGGACAACTGTGGGTTGCAGTCATTTACTGAACAGAATTGGCTTCAACTGGAGTCAAACCAAGAGGTTTCCGAGGTAACCTCTCAGCATGTCAAATTCCTGACATCAATCAGAGGTACCTATCCATGTTAAACAGGTAAGGCTTAGAATTTGGTGTTAATTAAAAACCAGTTACTGAGGCAGCAGTGAAGGAAAATTCAAGAGCACCAAAAGGATTCAAATCCTTAGAGCAGGTCACAGAAAAAAATATCAATGAGTACTCAAAGTCCCTGTGTGGGTGTGGATGGTGATGTAAAAGGGAACAGTCAGAAAAGGTAGAAAGGTACAGGGAGAGTTGAGCCCTTCCACAACCATTGTCTTTCTGGACAAGTGACACTGCATTTAAACCTCTGCTGTCACCTTCACAGGCAGCTCTTCTTGCGGCCTGCAGTTATTTAAGACTAAAGGTGTTGTCTCTGGGCAAATCCAACATTGGGCTGTGTGGAAGTGTTAAGGACCCAACCCCACCGTGCTGCACAGGGAGCTCACGTGTTCTGCCCTTGGGCCAGTCAGGCTGCTTTGCCTAATTTCTCATGAGGCATAATCCAATATTCCACATCCCAGGAACCTGGGTGAGGGATAAAATGCTGATTATTGTAACAAGCTCTAAGTAACGATGCCCCTTGTGCCCAGGTCATGGGCTGTTTGCTCTCATTCCTGTCTCATAGAGGGCAATGAGACTTCTGTGCAAAAAGAGATGGAAACCAAACAATTCTATGGCTCTTGCTCATTTTTCACTGGAAGCAGACACATCACCTGGTGCACAGAACCTTTGTTGGTGGGGATTGGTTTGGTTTTCTTCTGGTCGTTCACTTTGCAGTGATTACAGGATCCTCTGTGTCCCCCATTGTGGGAGGGTACATAAACTAGCTGCTGACAGTGCTGTCTGCTGTAGCTGGTGAATTAGCTGATGGGCTCCTAAAACACTTCTTTTGTTTGCCAATTCTATCCTCCACTGAGACTATTTCATGATTGTCCCACTTTTCAGGGTTTTTTTTTCTTACCTCTTTCTACCTGTTCCCCAGTTCTTCTCAGTTTCAGTGCCCCAAATGACAGGGCTGTCAGGGAGTGACTCATGAGCAGAGGCTGGATTGAAAGGTGCAATTTAGGAAGCTCATGTCCCATTAGTGGGGAATTTAGTGCTGCTAAGAGCCCGGCAGGGATCATTGATTTAGCTGTTCCTATAGACTAAACCCCAGCACTCACTGCTAAATGCTGCTGGAGCATCTCTCCAGGGAAAAAAGGCACGACCAGTCCAGATACTTCGTGGGGTCCCTGCCCAGTTTGCAGTGATGGATGGGAAACTGCTACTTGGACACTGGATCCCGGGAGAACTTCAGTAATTTCCTACTGAAAGCTTTTAAAGCAGGGACTTGCTTCCTAAGTAAGGCAACTAAAATCTTGATGCTTGCCAGGCTTCTCCATAAAGCGTGCATAAGTGTGCCTGGGTATGGAAATCTTACTTTAACCTGATTTCGGGGAGCAGTTGGTTGAGATTTTAGTTAAAATTTAAAACAGTCTGTGACACATGAAATAGGAAAAAAATTATATTCAGAAGCCTAAAGGTTGACTGAGCATGAAGTAAAAAAAAAAATAATATCAAGGAATAGGTAAGCAGCCTCTGCTCTAATGAAGCAGGGTGGAAATTATATATATGTATATACATAATATATATATATATAGAGCCATAACAAATTTGTTGTGAATGCCTCACCTGCCATTTTCATCTCCTGATTTTCATTTGCGGTTTGGCTTTGGAGTGAAATGTTTTCTATTCCCAGCTCAAGTGGATGAGTAATCTGCAACAGTCTTGTGTTTATGACAGTCATCCTGCTGATAGCCTTGTTCTTTATCATTTGAAGTTTGATGTCTTTTAAAAAGAAATACCTTGACAAACTATTTTCTTTGGCCCCAGCTTAGACTGTCCAGATAAATGACTCTGAGGGGAGGATAAGCAGTTTAAACCCATTGAGAGGAGATCTGTGTGCAACTCTGAAATTGGCACAATTCCCTGGGATTGTCCATTTCAAAATGAGAAATTTGCTTCTCGGGGTGCACTTGTTTTTCTTTATGAAAGTAAATGTCAGTATGAAAAAATTATTTGATTGCACCTGGTGTGTTTTCTTCCACAGCTCCATTTTCCCAGCTGAAAACCTACTGGGATATTCGGGCTTATTTGGAGACAAACCACTCTGAGGTATGTCATATAAAATATCATGGAAATATTGATGGATGAAAAAGCTAAATAGTTGAAGAGTAAGTGCTACTATCTTAATTCACAAATATCCCCAGGGTGTGTTTGTGGCAACTCAAGCCCTGCATGACCCAGACCAAACACCTCCTGCCCACTCCCTGTCCCGTGCCTGAGCCACAGGAAGTGGGAATGGGGGATTTGGTGTGGCTGCAGCTCTCCTTTGCTCTGAAAGAGAAGCAAAGATGAGCCCAGATTCCCACGGTCTGTGCACAGGGTCCCTGTGGAACAGCATTTTAGTTTTCTAGTCCGTGGCTCTTCTTGGTTCCCTAGGGCAGAGGATGATCCATAAATTTCTCTCTCCCTTGTTTCTCAGACACTCACAGACCAATGTCCTTTTGCCAATATTCAGGGGCTGTATTTTTGCTCTGGGACTTTCTGACTTTTCAGCAGACCAAGGATCATTTTCCAAGGAAATCTCTGCTGTTGTGCCATTACTGAGCTCAGGACAAGGGAAGAACAAATTTTTAGCACTTAGCACATTAAATGTTCTTGATGTACAACAACATGCTCCTGCTGTTCTTCCTGTCTCTGAAGTTTGCTTATTTTTGTTTCAGCCTCAGAGGATTCTGTGAGGGTATTTCACACATAAAAATCAAGATACCAAGATGACAAACCCAGCAGGTTGTGGCACAGGGGTGAAGCAGAATTGACTGCCCCAGGGGATTTTTTCCATGTGCCCAACAAAAATAATTGCATCATTTGGAACTGCTGCTTTAACAATGGAAAACTGACTTTCTGTATCCAGAGGTGCAGGATTGTCCTGGTCAGGCTGTGAGATGTTACACTCTGTATTTGTCTGTGGAGGCTGTTACTGGGATTCCAGCAGGGATTGAGCCTCATGTGTTTGGAAACCCAGAATGGGTTGGGGCAGGTTTTCACTCAGGGAGCCTCCCAATTTATTCCTTTGCAGATTTTCTCTGCTACATTAAATGAAGAAGAGAGGCCTTGCTCTTATCAAGTTACGTGGAAGCAAATTACTGTTATTTATCATCTTATCACAATTAGGTTTTGCATTATTTTTTTCCTTTTCTTAGATAATTTATGTTTCTGTCCTCTGTACCTTACTCAGTTGCTCATCACTGCTTGTTTTAGCCAGCAAGAACCCTGTGAAAACAAAAGGTACTGGCTTAATTTCCCTTTCCAGCAATCCTCCTCCCCCTCAGCTTGAGGATAATAGAAATCCATGGAGCTTTTCCTTTTCTTGTGATTTGCAGTGTTTGTACAGCCACTTCCCTATGCCTGCCACAGCCAAAATTTCATTAGTGCAACTGGGATAAGATTCAGCTCCAGTTTTGACTCAAGGCTGTTTACAACTTCTTGTTTACCAGTTATGAACCAAGACTGTTCCAGAGACCATTACTGAAGAGATTAGAGGCTGCTGCTTCACAACACAGTGTCAGAGAAAGAGAGAAAACACAAAATGTGTATCCAAAATAATGATTTTTCCTCCTGCTTTTAGTGTGATAAGGGACAATCCTGTCATGGAATGACCAAGAACTTCTGCCTCAGATCATCAGAGTGCCCTCGAAAAGCCAAATTCCAGCAGGTAAGGAAGGAAAGGCACCTCTGCCTGACCTGCTGGGGACAGCACAGGGACAACTGGGACAGCTGGGCATGGGACTGGGAATGTGGTGGGAGCCCAAAGCCATCTTCCCAGCCACAGCATTTACCTAGAACAAATCCTCTGGGAAGCAAAAGAAAATTAGTGGGTAATAGTAATAATAATAATAACAATATTGTGGGGAAGAGCAGCAAAGGGAGTGATGGTAAGTCTAAGGGAGCAGGAGGAATGCTGGCTTTTAAATGGGGTGAGACAGCATCTCCTGGGATTTATAAAGCCCAACTCCAGGTCTGGGATTAAAGGAATAGTGTAAACTTGTATTGTGAAATAGCTGTATTTGCATTCTGCCAGCATTCCCCATCTTGAGCCCAGGTTTGGGTGCAAGTGCACCAGTGCTGCTTCCTCGAGGGATCAGGAAATTCGGCATTAAAGCACTTCTCACGAGGCTGACTCTGAGCTCTGGCTGGGCAGAGCATTTGGCACATCAGACATTTCAATAAGAGACATTTCCAATAATTTTGAAGGCATGTTGAGTAAAAACTAATAAACATAAATATGCCTTTCTCCATAAGGACAGCCCCACAGAATGCACAGCTATTCCTACACTTGTTCAAACCTACAAGCAGTCAGTTTTTGGTGAGGGACTCCAGATTTTTGTCTTCCTAGCTGGCTTTGCAGGCATTTCACAAGTATGTAAAATACAGACCCACTAAAACACTGCAGTGCTGCTGATTTCTAAACAGGCACAAGAGACCAGAACATGATGAGTTTTCACTGCTCTGTTTGCTCCAAACCTGAGGCACAGCAGAACAAATAGGGGTTTTTTTTACTGCACTTGCTTTCTAAAAGTAAAGCACTTGCAGAGGCTTTGCTGTTTGTACAAGCTCATCAGGATTTGGACACTTGTGCCAAAATTTCAATTCCATTTCTGTTAAGGAATGTGAAGCATCTTAAAAGTACCTGCACTCGTACTTCAATTTCATGCCTGCTGCCACCAATTAATTTTGCTGCTCTTTTGTTAGGAACATTCTACCCCCTGCTTCTTTAGGCATCCTCATCTGGGAGACAAAAATCGATGTGGAAAAAAGTTTGGAATGCTGCCTCCACGTCAAGTTACCTGCTTGGAAATGAACTCGGCTGTCTTGCAGCTCAGCATGTTTCAAACACAGTGTGGTCCTTTTGATTGCAGACTTGGAATGATGTAGCTTGTGAGCAGGGAATTAAATCAACCAACTGTAGACAAAGCCATCTCGTGTTCATGAAATGGGACTGGATTTGGATAGATGCAGGCAGAAGGTTTGTGCCATATCAGAAAGGTTTAACCCTTGTTTTTCAGTGATGAAATTAGTGACTTTTTAGTGATTGTTGCTCACCTCTGCCAGAGTGCACGTGAGCTTTACACTTATTTCAGCATAGTATACCCAAAGCAGGTAACAATGCTAATATAGTAATCATAATAATAATAATATCATCACATTCCTTCGGATCAATTGCAAACAGACTAAAATGACCTCTTTACAAATATCTTTTAGGGCACTTTAGAACACAAGGAAGAAAATGGACTCAAACTCTTCGTTGGATTGGCCTCAGGTGCTGAATGATAACGGGACATACAAGTTCCTTTACTGGGAAGGAAATGTCTCCTACGTGGACTTCTACCTCCACCAGCCTTCGGTGGCTGCTGTCTTCATCACCTCCTACCTCCTCATCTTCCTCCTCTGCATGGTGGGCAACGTGGGGGTTTGTTTCATCATCCTGTGGAGCAAGCACATGCGCACGGTCACCAACCTGTTCATCCTGAACCTGGCCGTCAGTGACTTGCTGGTGGGGCTCTTCTGCATGCCCACCACCCTCCTGGACAGCATCATTGCAGGTGGGCTGGGGGCCCGTGGGGCAGGGGGGGCACATGCCAGAGGGGCTCTGTGGCCATTCTGAGTCACTGCCATCAGAGGTGAGCTGAGTGGGAGGTGTCCCTGCCCATGGTTGGAACTCCATGATCTTTAGGAGTTCCCTTCCAACCCAACCCACTTCATGAATCTGTAATTGTACTCAGGACATGGGAGATGAGAGCAAATGACTTTAAGCAGAGTCCTGCAGTGAGATGGCAGCGATTCCAACTGCCTGTTTCCTTGCAGGATGGCCCTTTGGGAGCCTGGTGTGCAAGATGAGCGGGATGGTCCAAGGAATCTCTGTTTCTGCCTCTGTCTTCACTCTGGTTGCTATTGCCGTGGACAGGTAAGATGCTGCAGAGTCTGTAGCCATCACTCTCATCTCCTTTGGCCCCCTGACCACATTGAGCCCATTCATTAACCCTCCCAACACCACAATAAATCAGATGCATTTTGCTCCTTAGGCTGGTAAGCAAAATAAAATGTGGCCAGGTGTAAAGAGCAATTTGTTCCTCCACCAGAATCTCTTAAAGATGGTGGAACTGGGCTATCCTAGCCTACCTGGAATTGGTTTGTTCCTCAGCCATGAAGCTGGATAGCAGAGGTGTTAATACCTGCCTTGGTTAAGTGGAGCAGCATAGGCAGCAACTGATGGGGAGGATGAAGAGATGATTCCATCTCTGCTCTTGGAAAAAGAGGCAGCTTAAAATGTGTGTGCATCCTTGCCTGGGTAACGAAGCATTCCTTAAATGGCAGGTTCCGGTGCATCGTGCATCCATTCAAGCCAAAGCTGACTGTCCCCACGGCCGTGGCCATCATCGTGGCCATCTGGCTCCTGGCCGTGGCCATCATGTGTCCCTCGGCAGTGCTGCTGCAGGTGCAGGAGGAGAAGCATTTCCGGGTGCTCCTGGGCTCGGGCAATGCCACCCGCCCGGTGTTCTGGTGCCGGGAGGAGTGGCCTGACCCAGGAATGAGGAGGATCTACACCACGGTTCTCTTTGCCAACATCTACCTGGCTCCCCTGTCACTCATCGTGGTCATGTACGCCAGGATCAGCATTTCCCTCTCCCACACAGCCACGCCTGGGCCGGGGAAGCGCAGCCAGGAGCAGAGGCACAGCGTGTGGAAGAGGAAACAAAGAGCCATCAAAATGCTCATCCTTGTGACTCTGCTTTTCAGCCTGTCCTGGCTTCCCCTGTGGACCCTGATGCTGCTCTCGGATTACGCCAGCCTTTCTGACCTGCAGCTGCAGCTCATCAACATCTACATTTATCCCTGTGCTCACTGGCTGGCCTTCTCCAACAGCAGCATCAACCCCATCATCTACGGCTTCTGCAACGAAAACTTCCGCCGTGGCTTCCAGGCTGTCTTCCAGCTCCAGCTCTGCTCCAGGGCGGGCTGTTCCCAGCCAGGCACAAGCAATTCCATCCTGCCAGCTGCCCACTGCCAGACAGCCCGGGATCCAGCTCCTCAGCCAGCTCCAGAGGAGGGCATGCTAGCTAGGAAAGGAAAGGGGGTGAATAACCAGGAGGATTTGATCATGGAGCATCTTAAAGAGCCCTGCAACCATGGGATCAAGTGAAACATGCTGTGACTCTTGCAGTCTCTCAGAGCAGCTGAAAAAGGGTTGCTTGAACCGTATTTGTGGTCACATTTCAGCCTGTCAATACTGCAGACACATCCTGGAACCCACCAGTCTCTGGATTTTCTTGTGGTTGTGCTTCTTCCCAGACATTGTGAACACCAGCTGGGTCCTGCTCAAATGACAGAATTAAACATTTTCCATCACGTTCCATTTATTCCCCTCTGTTGTTGTTATTTCTGTCATATCCATTATTGTTGCAGCGAGAGACAAAAATAGAAATGGAAAATTGAGAAATAAAGGATTAAAAAATGGGCTTGGTGGTATGGTTTTTTTTTTGGGGAACTCAATTTGGGGTTGAGGGGGGACACAAGTCACCCCAAAAGATTGAAATTTCTGTATGAGCAGGAGAGAGAAAACACTTGGGAGCCCCTTGAATTGGACAAACTTCAGCAGGTACAAGAGTGACATTGGAATCTCATGGAGTTGATGGGGAATGAGAACAGAATCACAGAGCATTATGGCTTATTCTGTAAGGCCCTACAGGAGCCAAATCCCAGGTAAAGCCATTCCCTGGGCCACTCCTCCTCCAGGTAAATGGGAGTGACCTTCCCCGCTATGATTGTCCATACTGTTCACTACTGACTGCCTCAGTATCAAAATTCATTTTCTGCACTACCTCAAATGTGCTCCCAAACTTTTCCCTGTCTCTCCACTACTTGTTGACTCATTTTTATCTCAAAATATTCATTTGGCCTAGGAGGAACATTTCTCCCCCGGGCAAACACCTTCTCTCACTCCATCTGCAGTTCAGGAAGCACCGAGGTAGTGCTTGGCTCTGGGAGGAGAGGCAGGGAAGCGGAATTTTGATAAAATTCCGGACACGGAATTGCCGCTCCCCTCACACCATCCCCGTGTGGGGCCTCGCGCGCCCCGCCCCGAGCCCTCCGCGCGCGCCCGGCGGCGGGGCTCGCCTCCCGCTGTCCAATCAGCGCCGCGATCGCCTCACGGCACCCGCCAATCACGAGCCGCCTAAGGGTATATAAGAGCCGCGGGAAGGGGAAATCGGAATTTTTTGGTTCGGCGCTGTTCATTAGTGCTTCGGTGAGGTAAAAATACAGTTTAATATATCTATTTATGATGTATGGAAATTGGAGTGATGTTTCAGTGTGTGATGTGCCGGCGGAAAGCTATTCGGTGACCTCAGGTAAAACCATGGCAAGGATGGGAATCTGTTGATCTCTGAGTTTGCCTTGGCATCCCAGAGCCTCTCTCCGTACAGATTATGACGGGAATATTTTCTAAATCGGTTGTTTAGTGATATTTTTAGTGTTGAATTAATGCGGTTTTCTCATTTCGTGTATTTTAAGCCTTAGGTGGCAATTCCCGTTGGGCTGGTGGAGTGCTGAGGATTGCTATTGATGTTGGGAGAAATAATTGCCTTGCAGAGTTTTTCTATAAAATATAACTATATGAAATCATTGAGTTGCTATGATAAGAACGGGACTCCCAGTAGAGAACTGGGGTGTGTTGAACAGGGAGTGGGAAGCATGCATGTTTTTTCTGCCTTAATTCCTCCAACCATTGATTTCTGTCTGTTTGCAGCAGTAACTTCATTAACTAGAGCTGCATCACTGATCATATCCAAGCTGTTCTTTAGGACTCAGAGCACAACGGGGAGCAGAACCTGGGTTCAGGTGGGTTGAAACGATGCCAGGAAAACATAAATCTCTCAGAAAATAGCATCAAGTAATATAAATATCTTTATTTCAGTCAGGAGCCTGCCACTATAGTGGGTGAACATGCACCTGTACTTACTGAGACAATAGACAGGTGATGCACTGGCACTCCTGGGTTTCTGTTAATTGTTGCCAGGTGGTTTCCATTGGGTTCAGTTGCAGTGGATCTGTACTGGATCTGTACTGGAAAGCTGGAGCCCTGAAGCACAAGAAGCTTCTGAACTACACAGATATTTCAGGCTCCCACAGAAACACGCTGGGCCGTGGTTCTGAGGCAGGAGCATAAGAAATTTGATGTATTCAGTGCCACCTTGAGAGTTATTTCCTTTGAAGCTCCCAAGATCAGCCTGAAATTAGGGATCGTGCCTCACTTGTGACCCATGGAGGAGGACAAATGGTGTAGTTGTGTATTTTTTCTGCTCTCCCTCACTTTTTGCTGACACAGACAGAGCTTTCAAATCCCAGGAGCACAGGCTCTGCAGTGTTTTACAATAATAGGAATGGATTATCCTGTTCAGGGATGCTCATCAGGGATGGGTCAGCCCTTCCTGCTGTCTTTTCCTCCCTGGGAGGACGAAAACCCACTTGGCTTTCCCATGCAGGGCTGCCCGAGGCTGAGAGTTGCAATCCCTGGAGCACCCTCAGTCTCCTGGTGGTCACAGGATGACCACAGTGCGTTGTGAGTCGAGTTCAAGGCAGCTACTTGTGAGCTGAGAAAAGAACATCAGGAGGCTGGAAACAACTCCCAGAAACTTGTTAAAAGAAATGGGATGGACTTCTCCCCAAGTGTCTGAAAAACTCTTTTGGCTTTAGTTTATAAATTGAAAACTGAAGTGCTTGTAAAGGTGTTGGTGTTTGCTTTAATACATTTTTGGTGAGGTTTTGATTCGGTGCTGTTATTGGAGCTGCTGTTGGCTGAACAGGTGCCCCCTAATTCACCTGTAAGGACATGGCTGGGTTCAGTGCTTCTCACAGCTTGTGCAGTAGATAGAATTCCAGTGATACCTCACAAATGGATGGCTTGTGGTGTTCCATAAAGGAGCATTTCAGTGCCAGTTGTGCTCCCCTGTGAGCTGGTGCGAGAAGCAGAGGGTTTGCAGCAGCAGGTTTGGAGCAATGTTCCTGTGGCACAGACATTGCTCCCTGGCAAGTTCACGGGTTTGAGGCATTGGCTGACAGTAGCAAAGCACTGCCAGGGTCTTAGTTGTGCAGGGAACAAAATACTTCATTGGAAATCTAGTCTGGGAGTGTTGTGGCTTCAGAAAGAGCTCTGTGACCCTTTCCATGCCTTGTGCTGGCAGGGCACAACAGGCTGTGGGGCTCAAGTAGATCCATTTCTTGTTCTGAAGGGGCAGTGGACTGGTACAACGTGCACTGAGCAGAGGACGTTGGATGTGAAGATTTGGGTGAGTCTGGGGAGTTCTCGAGCCCTAAGAATCGTGGCAAGTGTAGCAGTAAAAATTCCAAATTAGAAATAATCAAAAGATGAGCTAGTTCTCAACAAACTTAACTCTCAAAATTATTTTTCAGGATTAAATAAGATTGAAATGAGCTTGGAAGGAAAGCCCCTGTGAGCAGAAACACTAAAGAATTCCTGCTGCTCCTGATGTCCTGGTCTTCTCAGGTGAGTTTTGTATGGAATTGAAAGGCAATTTCCTTGCCTCTGGTGAGCTGCAGCCACATCTCCTTTGAAGAAGAGAATGTGGAGGAATGGCAAGCAGGAAGATGACTTTTAGCCCACCACAATTGCTGCAAAAGAAGGAAAAGGAAGCCCCAGGCCCGTGCCAAGCACAGGGATTGCTGCCTGGTGTTTTTTTTCCTCAGTGTTTGTCCTGTACTGTCTGTTCAGGGCTTGTTCCTCACTGTTCCCTCCCAAATAATGCTGGAGGAAGAGGCCAAAACTCCCACTGTGTCTGTGGAGGATTTGTCTGCAGTGACTTGCTGGTGGTGGAGCGAGGACATGTTGCTGCAAAAGGAGCACAGCAGGATCAATCTCCTCCAGTCACCAGGCACTGTCCCCAGATGTCACACCCTGCTGCTGTCACTTGGTAAGATTGTATTTCCCCAAGCCCAGGTGCTGTTTTGGTGGTCCTGTATGCGGCTCTTTGCATTGGAGCTTTGTGTTTCAGCTCACTGGAGTCCATTCCACTGTTTAGTGCCTGTGATTTCTGTCTGTAATGAACACACTGGTCAGTTACTCCAAACTAGTTCCCTCCTTGAACTGATGGATCACAGGACTGTGACCCAATGATCTCTTATCCTGGAGCACTTCTCTGCTGCTCTCAGGAGAGGATGGTCCTGAGCTCTGTGAACAAAGGACAAAAGTAATGCAGCATCCTGGATATCTCTAATCTAAAGTCCAGTGCCAAAGGATAACTCACAAGTGGGGTCTGGGATGATGATGGTTCTGTTAAAATCAGGCAAATAATACAATAAGAAAAAATAGCGTCCTTTTTATGTCTGAAAGGTTTGAATAAAAATCCTGGAGAAGGGCACTTATATATTTAATATGGCTGTCACCTCTCCTTTTATTTAAAATGACAATCTTTATAATGAGCAATGAGAACAAATATGTGAAAGCCAGGAGCTTTTGACTTGCACAGTGGACTTAATTTTCCTTTTCTTCTCTCTTTCAGAACAGGAAAAATCATTTCATTCGACCCAGCTAAGGCAAAACCTTTGGTTTTGGTTGAGTTTGAGCAGCAAACCCGAGAGCCTCCAGCCCTGATGGCCTGCACTGGTCTGCACATGCTGTGGGGTAAGTCAGAGGGACATATTTCCCTTCTCCTGTCTGTTGGAATTAACTCACTAGGAAATGTAAGCACAGCTCTACTGTTTACTGGGATCTGGTTAAACTCCCTTTATCCTTGGATTCAGGGATGTACGGTCCAAGAGATTGTGTTGACCTGTGGATTCCAAGAACACCAGAAACTGGAGGGTGTGTTGTGCCAGAGCTGTGTCACAGCAGGTTGTGTTTCCCTCTGAGGACAGTGTCTCTGAGATAACCATGCCAGTAATTTTTACAGAGGGAAAAATACTAGCAATTACTTTTGATCCATGGGGAATTTTCTTTGGAATTATCAACCAGAGCGTGTATCAATGGGGAGCAGTTCTTTTTGGCACTTTTTTCATTTCCTTTCTGGTTTAAATCAGTTTTGTGTGCTCCTGTTAAGGAAACAACATGTCTTTACCTTGAAATGTGGGGTGATTTTATTTGTTTTAGTTTTTTTTTCCCCCCAACTGAATCAGCCCTTCCATGAATAGTCTGTGTTGCTCTACACACTTTGCTTATGGGTCAGAGAAAGAAGTGAAATGACATTTTATTATCTTATATTTTTCCAAACATAAGCGGGATGCTGTCTTGCCACTCCCCAAACCACTCCAGGCACATGAGAGTAGCTCAGAGCTGGCAGAGTTCTCTGGCAAATTGCAATATTTGAGAGGTTTGAGTATTGATAACAACTCTGTTGTCTCTTGGTTGCAAAGATTCAGT